CTGAGCAGTTGTCGGCACCGTCGCAAAAATTAAGGCGAACGCTTTATGTCCCATGACGAAAAAGGCGTCGGCGTTGCGCCCTAAAGGTGGTAACAAAATTATGCATTGAAGCAGGCGCCGCTGAAGGTGAAAACGGACGCGCTTCAGAAATAAAACACAAAGAAAAGCGCAAAAACGCAGATGCTTTGTCACAGAAGCCGTCGTTAAGCTGGCGGGGGCACCGCTCCTTCGCAGTGGGAAAGGGTGATGTGATCACCGGAACGGCTTGTGTCAAACGAAGACGTGCCACGCAGCCTCTAGGAATGCGCTGCATGTAGGAATGCGTTCGCATCCCTACACATAAGCAATCAGGAATATCTTCGGCGTGTTTTCTTTTTTTTTTTTTACTTCGCGCCGCCACCTGCTTGAAGAGCGCGGCTCACATTTTATTACGCCGAACCGTTTTCAATGAATCGGTAACAGCCACATGAGATTACGGTCAGGTTCCGGTTCGTGTTCAATATAAAATGTTTGATTTCGGTTATAGTCTTGTAGCGGTTCAGTTAAAAATAACAACTTTGGTCCGGTTTCCTGTTCGGTTCGACACCCTGGGTAACAGCTGCATGCGAATCCCGCATGTCTACAACAGCCGCTTTGTCGCGTCTCGCGGCGCCAGGAAAGACACTTTGTCCGTCTATAACTATTCAGTTTTGGTTGCTTCGCTGAGAGCGCGCCATTTTCATCCTCGACGGAGCCTGCACCAGCGAGACGATCATGCCATCAGACACCTCTAGTGCAATGATGCTCTTTGAAGAGCCACTTACCACGCCCTAACGAATTGCGCAATTAGACCGCAGGCCCTAAATGAAAATCAGCACAGCTTGCATAAGAATCGAGCCATTTCCCAATCCCTCTTCATTCCAAGCAAAAAGCATCTAATTCCATTCCCATTCCATTCAGGGGTCGCGAAAGCGTGGAAAAATTCCGGAATCAAATCAATTCCGGAGTGGCATCTCCGCAACGCTGTTGCTGATATAGTGGCAGACGTATTGAAGAGGAACTCGTTTAATATCATCTACGACAGACGCTACATTATTCTTAACATTTTTGTATTAATTCTTTTCTTCGGGGGGGGGGGGGGGGGGGGGGGCGGGTACCAGGTGATAACATTATCCAGTTTGGCAGAGAACTTAGTGTGGACGTGACGCAGCATGCTGGTGCATTTGTACCAGTCGATTCGCCAGCATGTACAAACTGCTCGTTCTTTATGTCAGACTTTTCCAAACCGCTCACACGCTCGCCATTGATAATTACGCTAGGTATTTCCGCAGGTTGACTCTTATCATTCGTAAAGGTTTTGACGGCCTCCCATATCTTTTTCGGCTCATTCTGGATACGAAAAAAATACGGCGTGCAAGATGGTTTGCTCCTTGCTCGCGTCGTGCGTTTGTTTACCCCCGAAACGCGTCCACATGCTTTTGTTTTCCCCCCGCATCAACAGATGGCGCCGCGCACTCGGCTGCCCCGTCATCGTGCGTTCCGTGCACGGTCACTATGCTGCCCTCTGATTGGCGTACTGCTGCTTACGTTTCGATGCGCCAAAGGCTCATTTTGGAACACTTGCTCGCCGTATAGGCTTTGATAATACTTGTGTCTGGCTTATTTTAACATCCGATGTTAATTTGTTCATACACTCTTTGAATGTTATTAGTGTATCTGGATCCCTACATCTGATAAAATCATGGGACATTATATTTTTTTCTGGAATGCGTTTGTGTAAGTCAGCAGTCATCCATGGTTTGCGCATCTTGCTTCTTCGTTTGGTCATCTGCCTGCATGGGAACGCAGCGCCATATTACAGCTCGATTTTAGAGCGCAGCCTTCAGGCGCGCATTTCCCGCTTGAGCAGCGTCGGCGTCGGCGTCGGCGTAACCGCGCGTTGCTTAATGGGACGTTTTCAATAATGACGTCAGCCGTGACGTAACGTGTGACGTCATGAAGGTCATTCGTGACGTCACTCGCGACTTCACCGCGCTTTGCATTATGGCTAAATTTCCCCGCTAAATTTAGCGGAAAATTTCCGGCTAAATGGGAGAAAAGCAGGAGAGGAGGGTACAAATGAGGAGGATGGCTATACCCTCCTCTCCATTCCTTCCCCTCATCCCCCTCAAAAGCTGCGCTCTGAGTCGGCGTTACAAGGGATTGTAAACGTCTTTCGTTTTTTTTAGAGCAGTGAATATTTATCTAGTTTTCTGTAGCTAAAACAGTTACGTTTACTTGTGCATTTTTTTTTTTTGCAAAGGAATGTCATAAAAAAAGGAAGATGTTTACAGTTCTATGTAATGCCCAATTAGAGCGCAGCTCTTGAGGAGGAGGAGTTGAGGGTATGCCCGTCCTCCCCCTTCCCTCCTGCTCTCCTCTCATTTAGCGGGAAATTTTTGCTAAATTTCCCCACTAAATTTAGTGGGGAAACTTAACCCGCTAAAACTAGCGGGAAAATTGTTCCGTTGAATTTAGCGGGAAAATTCCCCCTCAGCAGTGTGAGCAAGCTTCTAGCGCCACGTACGACGTTCCTCTTCTTTTAATCTCCTACCGTCAAGCCACTCCAGACAAGTGTTTCAGCCTCCTTCTGTGTTTTGGCGCGACCGAACCATGTGGCGCGTCAGCGCCTCGTTCCTTTTCTTATACGCCCATTAATAAAACCTCTATTCGACTGCTACTTGCCCCGCCCTCGCCTCATCGCCCTACGCCTCGCCTGGCTGACGCCCGGCCGTTGTCTTCACAGCAGAGAAACGGCCCATATTGCAACGCGCATTTACGCCGACGCTGACGCCGACGCCACTCAACCCGGAAACGGGTGCGTAAGAGCTGCTCTCTAAGATAGGTAAATGGTCGCTTATGTCATGTGTGAAAATACCAGAAGAAATATGGTGAGTGTTTAAATTGGTTATCGATACGTCATGACAACTAGCCGTATCTGAGGCCACTCTGGTATTCAGCGTTAGTCTATTAACACGTGCATAAGTAGCCAAAACCATTTTTAATCTATCTGCATGCTTATTTTTTTAATTTTTACACAGATCGATATTTGCATTACCCATAACAACAGCAACAAAAAATGGTTAGGCATAATCTTTAAAAAGCAGTTAAGCGTCAAGAGGAAAGAAAGCAAACCTACTAAAATATCAAGGTGGGCTAGCTGATTAAGCACATCAAACAAAAAAGAAAAAAATACTAGGAAAGGACTTGCGCGATAGCGCCAGTCCTATCTTCTTTGTGTCCCTGTCGATGCTTTGTACTTTTTTATGTTTAATGAATAAAAAGAAATTGACGGCTATGTACGGTCAGACTTGTACCGTACGCACTACAAGTAATCAAATTACTTGTAATCGATTACTTTTTGGAGTAATTTTGTAATCAGTTGATTAATTTTATTAGGCAGTAATCACAAGAGTAATCTGATTACTTTTTGAAGTAATAAAATTACATGTAACCATTACTATTTTTCCACGCCCCCCTCCCCCCCCCCCGGCCTCATTTTTTTTTTTTTTTTCTGAAATGACAAAAATGAAGTTTGCTTCTTTTTGCGAACGGAAAAAAAGAAAAAAAAATTTTTGCGGATCTATAGGAAACGAGGTTAACCCCTTTTGTATGTATAGCTTTTCTAAAATGTCTGTTTTTTTTTCTTTTTAGCTGGGACTGCGATTGGGAAGCCCAAGCAGAATGTAGCTTTGTAAGCCCTTCGTTTAAACTAGCCCCCTCACGCACACACACACAGAAATAAAAAATAAATAAATGAAAACAATCCTGCTTACGGCACCTACTCGCAGCCGTAGGAGAACCAGAACCGAAGAATATCTAAAGCGGATGCAAAATATAAAGCCACTTCAAAATATTTCCCTATTTCCCTACGTGGCCTTTGTGACAAGCAAGGTTTCGAGTTGAGAAGATGTCGGGGCGATCTCTTCCGCTAATGGATACTACAGATGATCCGTTTCAAATCCTGGAGCCGATGCTCTTTTGTATGACATGCGAGTTCATCCACATGTGAATAATAAAATGAGCGAGGCCAACTTTGAGCGACAACCCTTGCTTATAAGCTTCACAAGATCTACCCCCCCCCCCCCTTTTCCCCCCAAACTAGAGAACGCCGAAATCATTTAACTTCTTCAAGCGAATTCTATGCTTATGTCCGCGTTGTGAAGGTCCAACGACCACGACGAGGGAGCCTGTTTATTCTTCTTCAATACTTCTGAAAATGTTAAATTTAGGTTGGAAGTAGTTCATTGTTATGAGCGCTAAAGATGTAAGTCGTCACACAATAAAGTAATCGGAAAAGTAACGGTTACTTCTTAAAGTAATGTCCAATTACTTTTGATTTCGAGTAATCAAGTAATCTAATCGAATACTTTTTAGCCATGAGTAATAGTAATTGTAATCGATTACTTTTTTTTTAGTAACGTGTACAAGACTGTGTACGGTTGCCTTCACCCGTAATGCCAACGTTGTCCAGAAGTGAGCGCAAAATTGTTGCAATAAGGATAGGCTCAATGAAATTTGTATTGCACCTAATTTCTTGTCAAAACACGAGGCTATGAAAGATATCTGACCTAGCGTACTGGCAAAGCGAAGAAAAAAATTACAAGAACAACTCTTGGACTAACAATTATTTTGTTGTATTTTTAATTGTCAACTTTTTGTGGACAATATAATAAAACTTAAGAAGTTCAAAGAGAATGACTACGTCACTCTTAACTGTATGTGCACTCCAGTTTTGCCTAATTTGATAATATTATTTTTCATGTCTACAACTGATCTGACATTAGGGTAGAAAACGCCTGCACTGGCACGTTTGTATTATTTTCAAAATTAGTGAAAAATTATTCAAATACCAGGTATGAGTAAAATAGCTCGATATTAAAGTAGAAATATATTTATCACAAAACCAAACGCGGCCATCCCAACTCCGATTTATTAAATTTCGCGCCTCTGAAGAGCACGAAGCTAGCGTTCGACTCCTTTTAGCAGTAATCTGGCACTCCGGTAGTTGCAGTTGGCTCTGGCGGTGGAGTGGGCTGCTCTCCTGGTTCTGATGGTGTTTCAGAAGGTGGTTCCGGTGCAGGTGGTGATGGGGCGGGAGGTTCTACTGGTGGCGTTACCGTATCAGGCAGTAGTGGGGTTTCTGTATGGTCTGGATTGTCGGTAGGCTCCACATCAGGTGCTGTTGGACGATAAGTACTTGTTTGTACCGAGGTCATGACAAAAATCGTTAAATAAAAAAAATAAAAGAAAACGCAATGACTGACTTTTGTTGAGCAAAGCTTTGTTTGGTACCAAGTAAATGGCTGCATAAAAAGCAACGGTCAATAATATCTAACGAGTTGATTAGTGAGTCCATATGCTGATTTCTTCTGTAACGCTTGTACTCAGCCAAAGCAAACATTGACGCTATAAACACGCGCGCCTGCCATTGCCGACCCTTCTCTTGTTTTACCCAGATGCCGAGCCACTGAAGCGGCGTTGACGAGCCTCCACAAAGGCCTATGCTGGGGTGAAGAACACAGTAGAACCGAAAGTGTCTATACCCTGTGCTGCTGTTGGTAACGAAAACTCAATGTCGGCTATGGCGGCGCCCATACACAGCTGCCTGAAAGCGTTCAGAAAACAAGACCTGCGCCATATCCTCCAAAACATCATCGCCAGTGGATCCACGCGGTGCACCCTATATTCATTGAAAAGGTGAGAACGGCGGAGAGGAGATTCATCTAGTTGTCCCGCATCCAGAGCGAGCTTGTATACCTTCGTCAACGGCGCCAGCGTCTCGTGCCCCTCGAGCGTGATGCGCAGACAAAGCACGGCGGATGACATGGAACGGGCGTTGGAGGCCGGGTGTTCGAAAGACACGCCCTGCCGTTCTCACTCTGTCAGTGACTATAGTTCGCGTCAGCGTCGCAGTCAGCGCGGCTTGCAGGTTCTCACAGTAATCGGGATGCTAGCACATGGTGACGGTACTTTGCGGTTACTCTTGTCGAGTTTCGGTGTGTTTGCCGCCCGGGTCCGCTTCGGGGATTCACTAACGATGACGCAATGAGCACACTTCGTCGTCTAGGTGGCATTGTCTCAGAGCACTAAAATCCCATCAAAGCAAATGAACGCGCTTGATAGAAAGAGTGCGTCTGCTTTATTATCAGTGTACTGTTACCAATTGAGTAAGGCCGATAAAACATAGCTTGACTAATTTTGGAAACGGATGTTTGGTTAACTCGAATTTCTTAAACAAAAAAGCAGCTCAATTAAGGCACCCATACGCTACGTTGTCCGACTTAAATACAAATTTATGTCCGCGTTGTAATAAATGTAATTTAATGTGCACAGCTTAACAATGCCACCTGCAAGTTCGTCTGCTGTTTGCGCGCCTCCTGTGCCTTGCGCACCTCCGCTGCTCGAGAACAGAACACAACACTTGTAGCGTCAACTTTGGGGTGTCTTCTATCTGGTCATCACAACTTTGTTTTATTGGTGACCGCTATATCAGTGTAGTAGAGTACAGAACTTGCCGACTTGCGCAGGTTAATATTGGAGGTAAGTTTTTGTTTAGGAACACATAGAAAGTTTTTACCCAGATGTTTTTTTTTTTTTTAAGATAGTGTTATACACAAGCACTACAGCATGCGAGGTATTGAAGCTAATAAAAGCGCAGACTTATTCGACCAAAAAACACATTCTATCAAATACTAGGCCGTGATAGTTGTAGGACAATGCCTATAACAAAGCGCATATTTTTGTCAACATATCTTGCATTTTGTAAGAGAGAGGCGTATACTCACGTGTTACAGGATTCTCCCCTTCAGGATGCTGCGGATCTTTGCCACAGGTGCTATATTCAATTGAGCAGAACGTAAAAATGAATAATCTGTGCAATTTAAGCAATCAACGTCGATACTAAGGATGTTGGGTATTGGTGTTGTCAACACAGAGACCCCGAGCGCCCTCAAACATGACAGCTATCCCCAAACACAATATTCAAGAGAAAACAACAACACAAGAAACGGTGCATGCTGTAAGGTTTACGCGAAACATATATGCATGCACGTTATGATGATCACACATTTATAAACATGCATGCTAAAAGCAATAATATGTCACAAATACTGACCGATTGAATCTCGGGCGACACATTGTTACTGCCATGGAAGAACTGACACGGGACTGTATGGCAGTCTCAATTTTTCCGTGGCCTCCGATTTCCCTCTAGATCATAAAATTTTGGAGGTGCTATTCTTAGCTTTTAGCGCTTACTTTCAGCAAATTCTGATTGCTTGGAAATGCAGAATGCAGAACAACATAAGTACAAGGAGGGCCAAATGAATCTAAAGACTTTAAATAAATATCAAAAACAAGTTTCGCTTGTTCTGACATCATAATCATGAACGTGCAGCGAATTTATTATTATGTTTTTTTAATATATAAAAGAGCAAACCAACCTAAATAAAAAGGTTATATCTAAAATAATGTATTTATTTCATGAACCGACCTGGAGCTACGCGTTTTGTGTAACAATGTAAAAAAAGAAGAAAAAAAACTATTTTGGGCGTATTGAAACGTTTAATTTGACAAAACAAAACAGAAAAAAAAATCTGACTTCGCCTGCCACTTTAAAGTTTGACCGTAAGTTCAAGAAATGAAAGTTTATTTTATTCATTCATGAAGTATTAACTTTGCTTTCGTTTTTTTTTTTTTTTTGTCCAATAAAAGGCCCCTCCCCAAGACGATTCTTTTCTCTTTTCATCTAAAAAAGGCTTTGCTCTGTACTGACTTCTGAACCACAAAAATGAGTTATAAAGGTCCCTTTTGATTGAGGAAAGTGTTTCCTTCAATATTTTTGTTCTGCTAAATCCTCCACCTAGCTTTATGTTCGCGTTAAATTACAGTGGGGTAGGATGGAAGGCTGATTTTTATGGTTGGTTGGTTGGTTGGGGTTTTATGGCGCAAAAGCATCTTAGGCTATGATGCGCCATGTACATACACTATTGCAGATAGGGTTTCGAAGAAGATAGAACTTTAGTAGTTGATGATAGGTTAAAATTATGTGTATGACTTGTAAGTAGTTATGGACATGAAGTTGGGTGTAAAATCATAGTCGGTGTAAAAGGCCGATAGCTTCCAAGAAGCTAAAAACGCTGTGATGCGGAACTAATGGTTCGTTGCCAAGCAAAATAGGAAGGTTTAAAGGCGTATGTTCTTTATATAGCTGAGAAAAATGTTTCCGTCGGTCTAGGTCATAAGCAGGGCATTCTAATAATATGTGTGCGACAGTTAAAGGATTATTGCAGTGCTCGCACTCTGGGGCTTCCTCCCTGCGCAGAAGGTGGCCATGGGTGAGGTGCGTATGCCCTATCCTTAGCCGACACAGGACAACCTCATAAAAGCGTTCACGGTGTCTTGCACTCTCCCACTCACTAAGCAGTGGCTTTACAGTATGCAGCTTGTTATTTACTTCTTCATCCCATTCTTGCTGCCACTTCTCTCTTATACGATGCCTTAAAAGTCTGTGATAGTCTTTATATGGAATGTCATGCAGTTCGACTTCTTTGTCACCAGCAGAACTGGCTGCAAGGTCTGCTTCCTCATTACCTGGTATACCAACATGGCTAGGGACCCAGCAAAAGACTATTTTAATGTTCCTTTTGGAAGCATCAATGATTTTATTCTGCAACTCTATGATTATTGGGTGTTTAGAGGTATTTAGTGATGAGAGCGCTCTCAATGAACTGAGTGAATCAGTATACACAACTGACTTCATGCTCTTCGTTTCTATAATATGATTAACTGCCAGGCAGATACCACATAGTTCAGCTGTTAAAATAGTAGCTGTATATGCAATTCGTTGAACATAGCGAACAGAGGGGCCAACCATAGCACACCCAACGAACGTTTCTGTCTTGGTGCCATCTGTGTAATACGAGCTGTGACCAGCGTATCTACTTTGGATTTCATAAAATTCCTGTTTGATACATTCTGGTGGGGTGTCTCTCTTTCTGAACTTAGTCAGTGAAAAGTCACACAAAATGAGGCTGTATTCCCACGGAGCTATTGCTTGAGGTACGGGGGTCACGGGCATTGTAGTGCTCAGTCCAACCGAATCAGCTGCAGCTGCATTTCTCATACTAAAAGGCGGGATTACAGAGGGCTTGTTGTCAAAGGTGCGCTTATATCTTGTTTCTTCTACAGCCTCGCGTGTAGGATGCAGGGTGAGTGAACGTATTCGAAGGGAATACATAAATCCCAAAGCAAACCTTCGCTTTTCCAGAGACCATTCATTTGTCTCTGCATAAAGACTGGGGATAGGCGACGTGCGAAATGCACCTGTAGACAGTCGCAATCCCTGGTGATGAATGGGGTCAAGCATTCGAAGAGCTGAGGGCCTTGCCGATCCATATACACAACTACCATAGTCGAGGCGTGAGCGAACCACCGAACTGTAAATTCGGAGAAGACAGAGACGATCAGAGCCCCATGATGTATGAGAAAGGACTTTAAGAATGTTTAGTGCTTTCTGGCATTTTACCTTAAGATACCTAATATGAGAAAGAAAGGACAGTTTACTATCAAAAATAAGCCCTAGGAACCTCTGCTCCGGTTTTGTTGGAATTGGAGTGGAGTGCATGGTCACCGATGGATCTACTGTAGCTCCTCGTAAGCGAGAAAAGCAAACAGAAACTGTTTTTTTCTGGTGAAAACCTAAAGCCATTTTGATCAGCCCACTTGAGCAGATTGTTTACTGCTAATTGGACCCTACGTTCACAGAGAGCAATGTTACAGGATGAGACGGATATCTGAAGATCATCAACATAAAGTGAATACTGTACGGATGATGGGATGGCCCGGGCTATCGAGTTTATTTTTATTATAAAAAGGGTGACACTCAATACGCCTCCTTGGCGAACACCGTTTTCCTGGCAGAATTCTCGAGAGTAGGTAGTGCCTAATTTGACACGAAAGGTACGTATCGCCAAATAGCTCTTTACGAATGCTAGCATCCTGCCTCGAATGCCATAGCTATACATATCTTGTAGGATGCCATGCCGCCAGGCAGTGTCGTAAGCCTTTTCTAAATCGAAAAAGACAGAGAGGCAGTACTGTTTATTTACGAAGGCCTCACGGATGGTAGACTCCAAGCGGACAAGATGATCCAATGTAGATCGTGACGAACGGAAGCCACACTGATATTTATCAAGAATATTTTCTTTTTCTAAAAAGTACACGAGTCGCTTGTTAAGCATTCTCTCCAGAGTTTTGCTAAGACAGCTTGTTAGCGCTATTGGGCGGTAACTGGATGCACACGATGCATCCTTTCCAGGCTTAAGAAAAGGAATGACGGTTGCTACTCTCCAAGACGATGGAAATGTACTCTCCTGCCAAATGCGATTAAACAAAAACAAAATTATGTCGAGTGTGGAAGGGTGAAGGTGAGTAAGCATATGGTAGTGAATTCCACCTGGTCCAGCAGATGTAGGTTTAGTTTCATGAAGTACCTGTTCTAGTTCATTCAGTGTGAGAGGTAAGTTGTATGCTTCTCGAGCTCCGCCGGATGTCCGCACGGATTGGAGTTCTGCTTGTCTCTTGTGTTTCAGAAATGCAGATGAACAATTCTGAGAGCTAGAAACACGTTCAAAGTGTTTCCCAAGGAGATCTGCCTGTTCTTCTAGGCTCTCAGGGCACAGTCCGTTTTCGGAAAGAAGCGGTACTGAGTAAGCCCGGTAATGCCCATTGACTTTATGCACTCTATCCCAAACTTCCTTGGTGGTGGCAGTGCTGTTAATAGAGGAAGCATAACCTTGGAAACTTTGACGCTGTGAGACGCGGCGGATGTGTCTCGCATGAGCCTTCATCCGCTTGAAACTGATGAGATAAGTCACTGTTGGGTAACGTCTAAATATGCCCCATGCTCTGTTCTGCTTTTTTCTTGATTTTTCACAGTCGGCATTCCACCATGGTTTAGGGCGGCGGGGAAAGCGAGATGAAGTCATAGGGATAGCTAAAATTGCAGCATTGAGGATGTGGGCGCTAAGCAAATTGGTGAGTTCATCGATAGACAGTTTGTTAAGCGATGTACAAGCGAGCTGGGTTGCTTGGCTGAAGACAGACCAGTTTGCTTCCTCAAACTTCAACGGGGAGTTCGTGTAGGCACTGTAACAGGTGGATGTAGTCGGTTCAGAATGATAGGAAAGTGATCGCTTCCATAGGGGTTAGGATCGACAGCCCAGGAAAACAAAGGAAATAATGTCGGATCGCAAAGAGACAGATCAATAGATGTAAAAGAATGAGTTGGGGCACTGAAATACGTAGATTCTGCTTTGTTCAATAAGCATATAGGTGTTGAGGAAAGAAAACGCTCTATCATCGAGCCACGTGTATCTCGTCTTCTACTACCCCAAAGAGGATTATGAGCATTGAAGTCACCGAGAATTAGGGCAGGTTGGGGTAATTGGTCGTGAAGTGATTCAAGCTCTTCGCGGGATACAGGATAGCTTGGGGGAATGTAAAGTGAACAGACGGTTATTAAACGGTCCAACAGAACACGAACTGCCACGGCTTCCAGAGTGGTATTCAAAGGAACTTCAATACATGGGGTAGACGGCTGGACAACTATAGCTACTCCACCAGAACTGTGCGACAAAAGAGGTCTGTCCTTGCGAAAAACCTGAAAGCGCCTTAGGATATTAGAGTGACTATTGTTTAAGTGTGTTTCCTGAAGACAAAATGCTATAGGGTGATGCTGGTCTAACAGAGAGTGCACGTCATCGTAGTTTCGAAGCAACCCTCGACAGTTCCACTGCAGGAACGCTGCCATTATGCATGAATTAGAAGAAAGAC